GTTTTACAGTTTTATCTTTACCAAATTCTGTTTTCCATTATTTTCTGGATTCCATTTTAATGGTTCAATTAAATTTTAATAACCAAAAGCATCTCCAATTGATTGATTTTATTCAAAAAAAAAAAAAATAATTCTTTTTTTTTCAGAAATACTACACATTTACATTTTTCTCCTAAATAAATTATCGTAAATAACATTTCTGGTAAAACTCCTTTAAAAAGTGTTTTTTATTATAATGTTATTATTAGTAGACTAGAACACGTGGATATGTTGCCATTCTTACACTATAATACTGAACTTTGATTTCAGTGATTTGGACTATGAGATGGATGCACTTTACTTTTGCTTTAAAAAAAGGATTTCATAGAAATTTGAATTTCATTTGGTTTAATAAAATATTCTTAAGTAAAATTGTTGATTTTTGGGTAGGGAAATTAATCGTTTAGATTAATCGACAAATTAGTCGACAGATTAATCGAAATAAAAATAGTCGTTAGTGGTAGCCCTACTGCTTTCATCCCATTAAGTACCTGCCCCTCCACAACATGCTCTTAAAATTTTATCTGTGCACTAAAGTTTATTATAACGTGACTTATAATAAATATTGTTGCCGCTTTTTAAGTATTAAATGGGACCCTTAATATAATTCTGTCATTGCAGGAACATTTTGGTGAGAACACATGGAACAATTACACTGGCTGTACATAAGATGGCATCATAAATTCTGTTTGTTTCTAATAGTCAAATATGGAATACGTGCAGTGTTTTTAAACATCATTATTTTGAGTTTGAAAAACTTCAATGGTCTATTGTCAGCAACATAGAAGTTTAATGATTGGGTGAGATGAGATATTTGTGTACATGGTTAATCATTTCTTTTTCAATATTTGTACTTTCTTTCAACCATACTCCACAGTTTAGATGTGTTTACTGCTTTTTTGTTTGTTCAAACTATTGTTTCCCAGTTAATAAACTGTGTTATTTAAGGAAAATAATTCTGACCAAGTCTTTTGTGAGGGGTGTTTTAGTTGAAGTACCATAATGTGTTCAGAAGGGGGCAGTAGTTGAATCACATTTTGCATGAAGCAGAATACTGAAGATAATCACAATGATTTTACATTCATTAAGTACCTCACAGAGTACAGTTTAATGGATCATTGTGAGTTGTAGTTTATGTGCATGATTAACAACTGGAAATTATTAAAGTTGAGACAGGTGAGGTTTTTTTCAACATGCTTCTTAGTAATGGTCAATTATAAAAGTCAATTTTGTCAAACAGATAACGTTTAAAATTAGGTAACTATCACTATTGTTTTATTTTACGAATAACAGAAATATACTATCCTTTTTTCTGTACGTTTGGATTTGTTGTATGCATATGAAAAATACAGAGAATTCTTCGCACTCTTCTCATTTTTGCATTTTGTAAACACTCTGGCCTGTCATGGAGCGTTCCTTCCTTGATAACAGTTAACAGCGAACTCACTTGGCTTAGCTTTTGATTGTAAAAGAGTCATAATTTTTACCTTAACATAGATAATAAGAAACAGAGTTTAACAAAATTAGCGCTTAAGTGTGCAGCATGAATACTTAGAGAGAAGAAATCATGCATTGTTGTCTTTGTTCTATTTTTTGATGTACTGTATATCTGTAATGTACCCTTTGTCACTCATAACTTTTAGTAGATGTTGTTGTGAATGTGTACATTTTTTCCCGAGCACAAAAACAGCACTGAGAACAGAACACAATATAATCATCATCATAGCAAGTGTGGGTCAACCTACAACCTGTACGTGTGGAAGGTTTGTGTGTGCTTTAAACAGCTGATAAATGTTTTCTAAGTACATTTGTATGGTTAACTTTTCAGAATGCAGCAGGTGTGTTTATATAAGGTTTGGGACCATAATGAGACCTGCAATGAAAAAGGACACTGCATGGCACTTGCAAGGCAATGTTTTACCTGGGATTACAGTATCAAAATGTACAGGTGTAGATCTTTTAGGACAGTCTGTCATTCATTACTGTCTAGTTACTTGTGTTCTGAAAAACCCAAAGGTTAACCTGCCTTCAACGTTTTAAGGGCCTAAGCATCTCACATCAGTGCCTTTTATGTTTTTTCCCCCACAATCCATCTGAATACCTAAACATTTATTATTTGCCCCCGAAGCTTTTACAGTGTAGTGCTTTGACCTCTTTCAAATAGCCACAGTCCAGGAAAGCCTCTGAAATTAGTTCCACTTCAATACTTAGCTTCTGAGTTCCGGTCACATGGTCGTTAAATGCACTAGGGGCCGTCTTTGGCTCTGCACAGCCTGAACGCATTGCATCCGATCTGTGCCGGTCCGAGGGGTCAGATGTGACCCCCGAGAGACTCGGAGTCTGGGAGCAAATTTTCAGAAAGTAGGAAAAATCAAGCACAGGGAGTCCAGCCATGGTCAGGGATGACTTTGACGACATTCAACCACATAGGAGGAGCTGTCACCGGGGAATACGGATGTTTCCCGCAGCATGACTGAAGATACGCGCATGAGGAGACGTCTATTCAAATCAAGTCTTAACAAGTGAAACCTGGAATACCTAACTGATATCGTTTCGGGAAATATGGTAAGTCTTTCTTTTCTTCCATATGTTTGCGTTTATGAAATAGCCCTGGAAAATTTACAAAATGAATTTTTCGGTTGCAAACATATTCACAAGTCAATATTAGACAAATCCTACGTTTTTCAAGGCTAAGTTTAAGGCTGCATTTAGCCTACACTGTGCAGGTCTGGATTCACAAATCGGATTTCATGATGACCCGCTTAGACTAGGCTACACCTCCTTTTAAAAGTAACCCGTATCCGATATCTGCGTTTACAGTGGGCTTAACTTGACGTGGCTCAATGCATTAGACAGTGATATTAAAAGTCCAAACTCTGCACACACTATTAATAAAGCATAGGCCTACTTTGTAGGCTATAGAAAAGCAGATGAGTCCAGAATGTGAACGCAAAGAGTTTAACTTATTGACAGAACTTATAGAAACCTTTTTAATGCGATAGGCTAGTTTTTATCCTAGGCAAAACCATTCATTATAGGCTGGTCTAGCGGTGTTAAGTTCGCAGGTGTGGGTTCAAATCCGCCATTGCATAGTTTTTTTTCCTCATTAAAACCAAATGTGTTCATTAGTGAATGTATATCAAGAGCAGGGACATGTTTGTGTGCGTTATTTCTGATTTCGCCCGAACGAATAGAGAGCCTCCACACACACACACACCAGGTTATCAATAGAAAGCGCTCGTCTGTGCACGAGACGCCCGTCACTTTAACAGCGGCGACGAGCCGTCAGCGTGATTTTAAAAGCTACACATTTCGGCGCCGGATCGCCTCTTATTTAACACAGACGAACGAAATTCATACTCTGATAGTCAACTAGAGATGTTTCATTTGTAATAAAAATATTTGTACTGCTGCGAGATGTTTCAAAAACATTTGACATTAACTCGTATTATTAACAGGGGAATATCCGATCTGTAGTTCGGTAAAGTTAGCAAGATATTCACAGATTCGACTTTTCCGGATCAATAAATCACGAGCAAAAAATGTTTACTACACAATTGACGCATCTTTTCTTTCGTAGTGATGTAGAAAACGAGCTACAAGCGAGTTTTCCTCAAAACAAGCTTTCCTCCGCTCTGCACAAAATACATTGATCTCAATGCGCTGGCGTCAGAGAGACAAGTCCAAGGGGACCGTCTGCAAAGTGCGAAACGCGAAAAGTGTTACTAATAAAATACTCAATAACTTCACTGTAACACGCTGTAGTGTCACCAAATTCAGTTCACACATCACTGCTCTCCTGCTGGTTATACTACAACAGTTATTTTTTTAAATAATTGCTTTTGAATTATTTTTATTTATTTTTTTTATATTCAATAAATTCACTGTTATTGGACAAAATGGTCAATAACTTCACTGTAACACACTGGACTTTCTCCAAATTCAGTTCACACATCACTGCTCTCCTGCTGGTTATACTACAACAGTTATTTTTAAAATAGCAGATGAGTCCAGAATGTGAACGCAAAGAGTTTAACTTATTGACAGAACTTATAGAAACCTTTTTAATGCGATAGGCTAGTTTTTATCCTAGGCAAAACCATTCATTATAGGCTGGTCTAGCGGTGTTAAGTTCGCAGGTGTGGGTTCAAATCCGCCATTGCATAGTTTTTTTTCCTCATTAAAACCAAATGTGTTCATTAGTGAATGTATATCAAGAGCAGGGACATGTTTGTGTGCGTTATTTCTGATTTCGCCCGAACGAATAGAGAGCCTCCACACACACACACACCAGGTTATCAATAGAAAGCGCTCGTCTGTGCACGAGACGCCCGTCACTTTAACAGCGGCGACGAGCCGTCAGCGTGATTTTAAAAGCTACACATTTCGGCGCCGGATCGCCTCTTATTTAACACAGACGAACGAAATTCATACTCTGATAGTCAACTAGAGATGTTTCATTTGTAATAAAAATATTTGTACTGCTGCGAGATGTTTCAAAAACATTTGACATTAACTCGTATTATTAACAGGGGAATATCCGATCTGTAGTTCGGTAAAGTTAGCAAGATATTCACAGATTCGACTTTTCCGGATCAATAAATCACGAGCAAAAAATGTTTACTACACAATTGACGCATCTTTTCTTTCGTAGTGATGTAGAAAACGAGCTACAAGCGAGTTTTCCTCAAAACAAGCTTTCCTCCGCTCTGCACAAAATACATTGATCTCAATGCGCTGGCGTCTGAGAGACAAGTCCAAGGGGACCGTCTGCAAAGTGCGAAACGCGAAAAGTGTTACTAATAAAATACTCAATAACTTCACTGTAACACGCTGTAGTGTCACCAAATTCAGTTCACACATCACTGCTCTCCTGCTGGTTATACTACAGCACGTTGGTGAAAGTACAGTGTTACAGTGAAGTTATTGACTATTTTGTCCAATAAGTTAATTTATTGCATTTTTTTTTTTAAATCATAAAAATCATTCAAAAGCAATTATTTTAAAAATAACTGTTGTAGTATAACCAGCAGGAGAGCAGTGATGTGTGAAATGAATTTGGTGACACTACAGCGTGTTACAGTGAAGTTATTGAGTATTTTATTAGTAACACTTTTCGCGTTTCGCACTTTGCAGACGGTCCCCTTGGACTTGTCTCTCAGACGCCAGCGCATTGAGATCAATGTATTTTGTGCAGAGCGGAGGAAAGCTTGTTTTGAGGAAAACCCGCTTGTAGCTCGTTTTCTACATCACTAAGAAAGAAAAGAGGCGTCAATTGTGTAGTAAAAATGTTTTGCTCGTGATTTATTGATCCGGAAAAGTGGAATCTGTGAATATCTTGCTAACTTAACCGAACTCCGATTGGTAAGCTTACACTGCAGGTGCAAATGCATGTATCCGACTCGTACCAGATTTATTTCCATATGAATGAGGGCTGAAACCGATCTGAGAATATCGGAATCCATGTGCTTTTTTTCCTGCTTACTCGTTCGCGGGCCATATCCGATCTCTCTCTCTCTCTCTC